ATATATATATATATATATATAGGCCTATTTCTTTTTATCTAACCCAACAGCGTAAACGCCAAGGACGAATGAACACACTGAAAATTACATCAATACAAACACAATAAAGCATGGTCTGGTCATTTACTCCGGCGCCCACTTTACTAGTTATTCAATATTACCACAATCACGTACGGTCTGCACCGTAGGAAAAGGTCTGGCAAATTCCGCCATCAATGCGATTATTTAACTGAATAAATTTAAATATTCTCTCAACTTTTCATTTATTCAATATGCAGATGTCTATATATACGACACAGAAGAAGCTAGACTGGTGAACCGATTGTTGGATGGTTACAACAAGGCAGTCCGACCTGTGCGAAAATATGAAGATGCCGTACAATTTTACAGATGTCCTTTACTGTTGCTCAGCTTGTGGACATGGTAAGCATGGGATGTGTTTATTGTTCAGTTCGTCAACGTGACATAAAATTTTAAAACGAACGTATTACACTACTAGTTACAGTGTAAAAAATGCTCTGGTGGTAAATGTAATCATGTTTCAGACGACGCCATTTCGAAATACTATTAGAGCCAGAAACAATTTATTATGGTGCATTTCATACCCACCAATACTACAAAATAGAGGTATTCACAATTTCATCCACCATATGTACACAAAATGGGTGGTTCAAAAAAGGGGTCATTTTAAAGCAAATATATAAATGATGTTTATATGTTATTTTGTTGTTTACCCACAGGATGAGGTTAACCTAATCATGACGTCGAGTGTGTGGTTTAATAATGTATGTACCACATTGAGATACAATATAGTGCATAAACGTGCATAGACAGATATAAACATCGATTGATGGGCCGTTCTACTCCGAAGATAGGTGTAATGATCTGTACCTGGACTGAGTCAAGGTTTTGCAATACGCTTCTCAAGTAAATGAGAGTAAAACTGAAGTTTAAACGGTGCAATATGAAAGCACACTCAAATATAACGTAATAGTTTGTTGACGGCTTAGCCTTGACTTGAATGGAGTCGCGACACCAAACAACAATCCACTTAGTGCTCAAGCAATCTACTCTCGCCTGCCTCTCAACGACCTTCCATTGGATCATTTACAGTCCTGCAAATTAATCGTGATAATACGATGAATTGTGATTTATAAGGACATAGATATTTATCTCGGGTAATCGTCATCAGCGCAGGTAATGCTCGCCACTTATGACAAATAATAACAACGATTGATTGATATTTCTAACGGTTTGATTGAATTCTTTATGCCATCATCGGTATTTTGCAATATTTGGATCTCCAGTTAAATATTACATCGAAGGTTAGCCTTCTTATAAATCCAATACCTCTCTGTCGCTGTCTCAAAATAACACGCGAAGGCCGCAATCAAAGTTAATCAGATAAACTCAAAACCCACCAATGAGTAAGGTGATTGCTTCTGGTATAATATTGATTAATATAGAAATTAATCTCACAACGCCATTATTGATAAAGCAACTCATAAACAAGACATTTTGATGGTGATTAAAATATCAATTATGACCTATCAATTTACTTTTATGAACGCAATGGTTTCCTCGTCAATTTCAAAATGACTTAAAGTATTAATACGCCAATGTATCAAGCTTATCAATGTAGATATGAGTTTAGTAACTACCGGTATCAACCTTAAACATTTAGTTAATATGTCATTTACCTTGAATTTATCAATTATTACAAATTGATTTTGATTTAAATGTCTATATTTTATGTTTATAAATTATGTAATACATTGATAAGCCGAACGTGCCCTTCAACGGCAAAGCTAATTCTAATACTAAAAAAGTAATAATAATAATAGCCTAATGAAGATAATGATAATGATGATGATGATGATAGCATGAGAATGACGAAAACATTGAACGCCTATGCCTATACACGCATTATATATATATATATACTGTCTCTTATAATATATATATATATTAGGCCTATATATATATATATATACATACATT